TTGAAATAAGAGACTGAGTTCAAAGTCCATCAGCAGTAGCAATGACTGGTTCTGAATGCTAACATTGTATGAGGGAAAGTATTATAAAACACTAACCTAGGGGTTCTCAAATGGCGGGGGAGGGATATGTGTCAGGATATCCTATGGAGTTTTATGAAACCCCTACACAGGTTCCTGAGATTCTGGCACAGCTATGCTGATTTATTAAAATAGGGGTGAGGAGTACTATGTAGTTCTAAAATATATTCTCTCCCTTTGAGAGGTACATCTTCCTTTCCTTCCATAGCTCAACGTGGTTTTCCATTTCTGAAATACCTGTTTGCACAAAGGTAATAATGCAACTGTAGAGATTTATTTAGATATAAATTATCACAAAACTTTCAAAGGGTAGGACTTTCCTTAGAGACCCAACGACAAAGGCTCTCTGGAAGGGAGGAAAGGAGAAAACTGAAAGGAATGTTATTGTGCTAGACTTTACATATATTATCTCATTTACTTATCTGAGCAAATCTGCAAGCTAGCAAATCTTAAACCAACTAAATTGCCTAAGCCACAAGGTAGCAAATGAATCTTCCTCCATTGCATCATTAGGGTAAGTCTTCCTCAAACGGTCTCACGTACTTTAAAGTTTGGAAATGTCACACTAGGATCTTGGTACAGAAATGGCCTATGACTTCCTGTGCCATCTTCATTCCAATAAGTAACTCAAGAGTCTCTATAAACTTAGTTCCAAATTACCAAGTGCGTGGTAGAAAGCTAAGTCCATCCAAAAGCAGTTGCTATGGTGAACCCGACTCTGATTAGAAAGTGACACAGGCTGAGCGTGGTGACTCACGCCTGTAATCCCAGCACTTTGGGAGGCCGAAGTGGGTGGATCACTAGAGGTCAGGAGTTCGAAACCAGCCTGTCCAACATGGCGAAACCCCGTCTCTACTAAAAATACAAAATTAGCCGGGCATGGTGGTGTATGCCTGTAACCCCAGCTACTCAGGAGGCTGAGGCAGGAGAATCGCTTGAACCTGGGAGGCGGAGGTTGTAATGAGCCAAGATTGTGCCACTGCACTCCAGCCTGGGCAACAAGAGGAAAATTCCATCTCAAAAAAAAAAAAAAAAGAAAAGAAAGTGACACAAAAAGGTGTGGTTAAGAGGGAAAAAAGTTCTGCCTCCGGGGTCAGATAAATACTAGCACTCTGACTTTCAACTTCCGCCATTCTTGATGGCATCATTCCACGTTAAATCCTGTGCCAGGTAAGATTACTATAATCGTTGTTCCCACCACAAGAATTTAGTTCCATGAGAATAAGGAGTGTGTCTATTTTTTTTCATTGCTATCCTCAACATCCTGAACATACGGGCACCAAATAAATAAATAAATGATTGTCAGTGGAATGAAACAATGAATGAGCAAGCCTCACTCTTCTCATCTGTAAAACAGACATAATCAAGCTGTTTTTCGCAACTGGGAGAATTAAATGAGACGGTATGTGTTTGGCACACAAAGGACCGAAAAACCAAGTATCTTCTTTGCATTTCCACCTGACAAGCTAGAAATGGATTATGTTCCGGACCCGTACGGCAAAACAGACAGCGCCTCGCCCGAGGTCCAGGCCAGAGGCGAGAGAAACTGTAAACTTAAGAGCTGTCACACCCAAAGCCAGGGAAAGGCCGGCGAGGAGCAGGAGATGTCCGGGGCCGGGTATGAGGAGGACCCGGGAGGAAAGGACAGGCCCGGGCCCGGTGTGTGGAGGGAAGGGGAAAAGGCCGGCAGACAGGAGGAGGTGCCCCGGCCCGGCATGTGGAGGGAAAGGGAGGAAAAGGCAGGCCGGGCCGGTTGCCGGTCGGGTCGCGAAGGGACGGACAAAGGCGAACCCAGCGGGCCAGCGGTCATCGCGCCTCCACCCGGCCCATGGCGTTCTTACCAGGTCCGAATACCTCTCCGGGCGATCCGAGGGGACCTTGGATGGACTGAGACACGGCCCCACACAAACCTAGGGCCCACTGGCAGAGTTCTCGCGATAATACAGTCTTCCTCCCAGGCCTGTCGCCATACGTCTGACAGTCTCGCGAGATCTCCACTCGGGTCAACCAGAAGCCCTTGACTGCCCTCTAGAAGGCGCATAGCGCAGGCGCAGACATCCTCCCCGCCCTTGCACAGTGTCCTTTGGCCTTTTGTAAATAAATCAACTTAAATGAAACAAACTTTTTTTTTTTAAGGCAAATTCTGTGTCGAGGACCATCCCAAGTGACTCAGATGTCCTCACAAACTAGATATTACCTAGGTTCAACGTTCAGATGCAAAAATGAGTATCATAAGACACAAAAGGCTATATGATGTATGATTCCACCTTTGCCACGTTGTGGTTTTTTTTTTTTTTTTTTTGGCCAAAGATTGAGCAAATAGACCAGCGGCGGGGGCTCACACCTGTAATAGCAGCACTTTCAGAGGCCGAGGCGACTGGATCACGAGGTCAGGATATCTAGACCATCCTGGTTAACACAGTGAAACCCGACTCTACTAAAAATACAAAAAACTGGCTGGGCATGGTGGCGCGCGCCTGTAGTCCCAGCTACTCAGGAGGCTGAGGCATGTGAATCGCTTGAACCTGGGAGGCAGAGTTTGCAATCAGTCGAGATCAGACCACTGCACTCCAGCATGAGTGACACAGCAAGACTCCGTCTCAAAAACAACAACAACAAAAACCGATTGAGTAAATAAATAAATGTCAGAGCACAGATTTTTTTTTCTTTGAGACAGGGTCTGGCCCTGTTGCCCAGGCTGGAGTGCAGTGGCGCAATTTCAGCTCACGGCAACCTCTGTCTCCTGGGTTCAAGTGATTCTCCTGCCTCAACCTGCTGAGTAGCTGGGATTACATACAGACGTGTGCCATGATACCAGGTTATAACATTTTTTCTGTGGAGACAGGGTCCTGCTGTGTTGCCCAAACTGCTCTCAAACTGGGCACAAGCGATCCTCCCACCTCACCTGGGATTACAAGCCTGAGCCACCATGGCCAGCCTACAGCCCAGATTATAACCCACATTATTTACTTGTGACCAGATGTTAAAATAGCGCTTCTTTCTGTCTCAGTTTCGACAGAGGTCCTTCATACTCGGTTGGCAACTTCTTCCCCACATTCCACAGGAAAGGAGAAGATCATAGCAGGGTTTTATGGATCCCACCCAAGAGGGACTCCTACAAGGGGCAAGGCAACCTCATTACAAAACAAGAGAGTAGATTATGATGCAGAAGCTAAGACAACAATCATAGGCTGTGAGTGGAAGGGGAGCTGTGGAGAGAGAGTCCCACAAAAGTCCCAGAGGAAGTCAGTCTAGAACATGACCTCAGGCAGAAGGAGCCCTTAACTCTCCTGTCCCCTATTCCCTCTCAGTTCAGATGCAGCCCCTGGAAGGAGACTTCATATAACGCAAAATGTAACTCAGACCACTTTTTAAAATTATCTGAAGGTGACAAGAAAGCTAAGGGACCTGTCTAGATTGCTCAACTGGCCCACATAGCATGTTTAAACAGATGGGGGACAGGGGAAAATAAAGCTGTTTATCAGTTGCCCACTGACTGTTCAACAGATGACTGTTTGCCCATTTCTGATCTGTCACGTACACACAGCTGACTCCAAGCCCCAGGAGAGCAGGGTTCTCTCCTGAGATCTCTCTGGTTCACTGCTGTATCCCCAGGTCCAGAGCACTGCCTGGCCCAGGTGCTCAGTACATACCTGTTGAGTGAACAAATGTTCTCTGTCACAGAAACAGTCAAAAGAGAATCGACACTGACATTGTTTTAAGCCATTAAGTTTTGGGTGCTCTGTGTATAGCAGGAGATAAACTGATGCTGAGGCCTTGCTCCCAGGCCACTCTCCATCAGCAAGGCAGAGCCCCTGGCCTTGAATTCCCCTTGGGCTGCATGCGGCCTTGCGGTCACTTGTTCAGGCTGTCTTGTTCTAACCTGCTTTCACCTCAGGCAAACACAGAGGAATGTGGGGGGACACATCATAGGAGACATTTCCTGATGAAGAGGAAGGAGGGATAAACAGGAACAGCTTAAAGAAAAGAAGGGATCTAATTTCAGCCTGAAGACACACATTTTTTTTATCGTTTACCAGCCGGCAGGACATGGGCAGCAGAGTGCAGACATCACAAACAGCAAGAGTGGCAGTGGTCCCCCAAGTAAGGGACGCACAATGACCTATTACAGAGTTTAGGAAAAATAGAACTTTTATTCACATGTATTTTGTTTGTTTTGTTTGGGTTTGGTTTTTGTTTTTTTTTCTTTTTTCTTTTAGATGGAGTCTCACTACTCTGTCACCCAGGTTGGAGTTCAGTGGTGTAATTTTTTTTTTTTTTTTTTTTTTTTTTTTTGAGACAGAGTTTCTCTCCTGTTGCCCAAGCTGGAGTGCAATGGTATGATCTCGGCTCACCGCAGCTTCCACCTTCTGGGTTTAAGCAATTCTCCTGCCTCAGCCTCCCAAGTAGCTGGGATCACAGGCATGCACCACCACACTGGCCTAATTTTTGTATATTTTAGTAAAGACAGGGTTTCTCCATGCTGTTCAGGTTACTCTTGAACTCCCAAAATCAGATGATCTGCCTACTTTGGCCTCCCACAGTGCTGGGATTACAGGTGTGACCACAGCGTCCAGCCAGTGGTGTGATCTTAACTCACTGCAAGTTCCACCTCCCAGGTTCAAGTGATTCTCCTGTCTCAGCCTCAGGAGTAGCTGAGACTGCAGGTGCCTGCCACCATGCCTGGCTAATTTTGAATTTTTGTGAAGACAGGGTTTCAACATATTGGCCAGGCTGGTCTCAAACTCTTGACCTCAAGCGATCCACCTACCTCAACCTCCCAAAGTGCTGGGACCATAGGCATGAACCACTGTGCCCGGCCATTTGTCGGTATTTTTGTCTCCCTTTTAAATGTTTTGTATATTTTATAATGTGTATTAAATCAATGTATACATAAGTTATAAATTAAAAGTACACACACGTTCAAGTGTTTGCTCAAAAATCTTTTACTGATAGGCAGGGCTACACCATCATAGATTATTAGAGGCCAGAGGAGAATGAGGCCTGGCCTGGGAGCCCTGTGCCTACTAGAAGCACATTACGATATCCATTCACTGACATCACAGGTCTTATTTGGGTCTTTCTTCTCCACCACAATATACTTGCACTCCTCTTGCTTGAAGATTTTCTGGCAGTTGTCTTTGTCAAAACCCACAGGTATAGCAATACTGTCATTGAGACAAAACCAGAGCCTGTTAGAAGAGAAAGGACCCACAGCACCACCACCCCCCGCCACCTCCCCCAGTGCCAGCTCTGTTCAGGAAGCCACCCGTGCTCCAGCTGGCTGGGGTGCCTTCACCAACTTTAAGGGCACCCCTTAGCTGGCAGCCCCAGAGTGTGGCCTCCAAGAATATGGACCAGTCTGTACCATAGAGTCACACAGCCCACCCCTACATTCCATCCTGCAGACACAGGTCAGCGGTAGGTGCTGACAGGCAAGGGAAAGTCTGGCTACTCTGCAACTAGGCAGCTTGTTCCAGGCCGGCTCCTCCCACCCTCCCTGTTCAGGAAGTGGCCAGCATATTGTTGCTAGAATGTGGAAAGCGAACAGTTGTGCCAGCCCTGGCTTGGAGGCCTGTTGGCAAAGGAGCTCTCTCAACTAATGGGAGCAAAGAGTTATTCCAGACCAGTGTCAAGGAGCCCTGGGAGAAGCTGATAGAAATCAGAGACCATCTCTAATTGAGCTGTAGTACATAACAAATATTTTGTAGAGTTCTGATGAGACGAGATAGTACTAATGCTAGAATATTTATTTTTAATTATTTGTTTATTTTTAAAATTTTTTGAAATGCAGTTTCACTCTGTCACCCAGGCTGGACTGCAGTGGCATGATCTCAGCTCACTGCAGCCTCTGTTTCCCAGGTTTAAGCGATGCTCCTACTTCAGCCTCCTCAGTAGCTGGGATTGCAGGCATGCATCACTACGCCTGGCTAATTTTTATATTTTTAGTAGGTATGGGGTCTCACCATGTTGACCAACCTGGTCTTGAACTCCTGACCTCAAATGATCCACACCCTTTGATCTCCCAAAGTGTTGGGATTACAGACATGAGCCACCATGCCCAGCCTAATGCTAGAATATTATGTGAAAAAAAAAAAAACACACAAAATTGTGGTATAAAATTTGATATCCACTATGTGCAAGAAAAGAAATGTAGGAAAGAGACATAAAGAAATTATAGAAGCCCAGGCATGGTGGCACATACATGTAATCCCAGCTACTCAGGAGGCTGAGGTGAGAGGACAGCTTAATCCCAGGAGTTTGAGACCAGCCTGGGCAACATAGTGAGACCCTGTCTCAATCTTTTAATATAAGTAAATAAATAAGAAAATATGATAGAATAATAGTTATTATCTTTAAGCAGTCAGGATTATGGGTAGGTTTTTCTTCTTTTTTCTTCTATACTTTCCAATAATTCATATGTTTTACTTAGAAAATTAGGAGAAATATCATTTACAACCTTGCATGTTTAAAGGTGATTGTTGGCTGGTAGGAATGCAAAATGGTGCCGCTGCTGTGGAAAACAGCTTGGCAGCTCCTCAATAAAGTCAACAAAAAATTACCATGTGACCCAGCAAGCTACTCCTAGGCATATCCCAAAAGAATTCAAAGCAGAGACTCAAACATTATATGCCAATGTTTGTATATTGACAATGTTCAGAACAACATTACTTACTTTAGCCAACAGGTGGAAGCAACTCAAGTGTTCATCAACAAATAAATGGATAAGCAAAATGTGGTCTAGCCATGCCATGGAATATTATTCCGGCAGAAACAGGAATGGAGTACTGATACATGATACAACATAAATGAACCCTGACAACATGTTGAGTGAAATATGCCAGACACAAAAAGACAAAAACGGTGTGATTCTATTTATATGAAATACCTAGACTAGGCAAATTCATAGAGCTAGAAAGTAGATCTGAGGTTACCAGGGATTTTGCGGGAGGGGGGATCTGAGGTATTGTTTACTGGATATAGCTTCAGGTTGGAGTCATTAAAAACTTTTTGAAATAGTGTTTATGGTTGCATAAACACTATTCTGTGAATGTATTTAATGCCACACTGAATTTTATGTTTTAAAATTGTTAAATTGGCACATTTTATGTAATATACATTTTACCACAATAAAAAAAAAAGTTAAAAATAAAGTGGTGGTGTCTCTTGAGAGATACAGTTTTTTTTTGTTTGTTTTTTTGAGAGAGAGTTTCACTCTTGTTGCCCATGCTGGAGTGCAATGGCGCAATCTCGGCTGACTACAACCTCTGCCTCCTGGGTTCAAGTGATTCTCCTGCCTCAGCCTCCTGAGTAGCTGGGATTACAGGCATGCACTACTATGCCCGGCTAATTTTGTATTTTCAGTAGAGAAGGGGTTTCTCAATGTTGGTCAGGCAAGTCTCAAACTCCTGACCTCTGGTGCTCTGCCTGCCTCAGCATCCCAAAGTGCTGGGATTACAGACGTGAGCCACCATGCCTGGCCAAACAGATACAATTCTTTTAGTTCGTGATAAGAAGTGAAATGGTGAATCTCTGCTGCCTGTGTGCAAGTACAGGTTGGTAAGGCAAAGAGCATATTACTGGATGCTTATTTCAATTCAGACCAGACTTAGCTCTGTAGATGAAGCAGCAGAGAGCGAGTGGGAGGAGAAACTGTCAACATCAGGTGTTCAGCTCTCCATGGAAGCCAGGACATCTCCCACGCCCTGCCGGGGAGCCTCTGCCTGGGCCCCCAGCCTCAGGCTCCACTGCCACCGAGCACCTTGAGATCTGGGCAGTGTCCCATAGAGGGTGCAGTGGGTCCAAAAACTTCTTCAAGAAAAAGCTTAATCAAAGTCTGTATTTTTCCACAGAGGAGAATAAAGTTCATGAGGAAAACAAACTTGGTAGGAAGTGAGGCAATTCCAGGGAAGAAGGAATTGCCTTCTTTTCCCCCGTGTGGAGCAGTGTGCTAAATGGAACAGGCAACATGGCAGTAGAAAGGAAAGGGCACCCTGAAACCTGACCAGTTGTCAGTTACTGCCCCCAGGCTCACAGGACACAGAATTGGCACAGAGAAGGCATTAAGAAGTGTTTGTTGGCCGGGTGCGGTGGCTCAAGCCTGTAATCCCAGCACTTTGGGAGGCCGAGGCGGGTGAATCACGAGGTCAAGAGATGGAGACCATCCTGGTCAACATGGTGAAACCCCGTCTCTACTAAAAATACAAAAAATTAGCTGGGCATGGTGGCACGTGCCTGTAATCCCAGCTACTCAGGAGGCTGAGGCAGGAGAATTGCCTGAACCCAGGAGGCGGAGGTTGCGGTGAGCAGAGATCGCGCCATTGCACTCCAGCCTGGGTAACAAGAGCGAAACTCCGTCTCAAAAAAAAAAAAAAAAAAAAGAAGTGTTTGTTGGGTTAAACAATGTATATGCAGAATCTCCTTTAATTCTCAGAGCCACCTGATTATCCCTAATTATACTGTGAGGAAATAGAGGCTCAGAGACATTCAGAAACTTACTCAGGGTCACCCAGCTAGTATACAAGGGAATGGAGATTCAGACTCAAGTTACTCTGACTCCAATATCGAGGGTCCTCCCTCTTCCCTGCAAGGAGCAGCCTGGCCCTTTTCCACACCAGGCCCACAAGAATCCAAGCTTACAGTGGAAAATCCTAGGAGAGGTCAGGGATGCCAAATCTGGGTGACATGGATGCTTTAGCCACCAGGGAGCTGTGCTCCTATGTTAGGGAGGGGCCAGTCACCATTCCTTCACTTGTCTGGGATACAATCACACTCCACCAGAGTGACATCAACACTTCCTATAAAGACAATGTCAAATCTCTGCAGCCACAAAATCAAGGCTCAGCTGTAATACTCAGTGACCCGGTCAATGCGATCCCTGGGAGTCTGCTCTGAGCAGCTAGACAACTCCGAGTCCAATTCCTCTTGTTCCCTTAGGCACCTAGCATGGGGCCTGCTTAATAAATGTGGTTGGAACTCTCCAGACACCTCAAGTTCAGTCGGACTCAGGTGTTCTGATCTCAGTCAAGTGCTTGCTTCTCTACTCATGGTGTCCCGATAAGACTCTCAAGGCGCCTGTTAAAATTGAGATTCCTTGGCCCCTTCCCTACAGACTCTGATCAATCAGTTCTGGGATGGAGCACAGGAATCTGTATTTCATCAAGCTTCCCAGGTGAGTCTGTGATCAGACAAGCTTGGGAAATGCCCCTTGATGCCAGTGCTTCTGCCATCAGATCCACTCCTGTTCCTGCAAAACACTACAAGCCAAGGCTACATGAAGAGGTTAGATGGACTTGAGGGGTTGGGAGTCAGTTGGCTGGTATGGACACAGTTGCTGAGGAAACAGGTAAATTAGGACCACACTAAGGGTACTCTGTGTTCGGTCTGCTCAAGTACTAGACTTCTGGAATCCATAGCAACTCAGCAGAAAACATCGGCATAGCCTTTCAGCTGACGTGAGGTAAACTTGAAGAGAGAAGCAGCATGAGTTTTACATTGCAAGGCACACTACAGATCCTCCCTTACCCCTCACATCTAATCCACTGCCTATGATCAGAGTCACTGCTGTTTTTGCAAATCTACAAGGCCAAAGCCAAAGGGATGACCAGGCCAATCTCTAGAATAGCGTCAGACCACTGGATACTCTCTCCTGTCTTCGGGAGCCCATCTGGAATAAAGCTACTAATCAAATTTCAGAAACAACAGAAATGAGACTGAGGTGGAAAACAACCCAAGCGTTCATCAACAGATGAATGGAGATGCCAAATGCGGTCTCTTCATGTAGCAGAACATGAATCAGCCTCGGACAGGAAGGGAATTCGGACACATTCTACAAAACAGAGGAACCGTGAGGACATTATGCTAAGTGAATGAGCCAGTCCCAAAAAAGCAATTACTGTGTGATTCCACTTATATGAGGGACCTAGAGCAGTCAAAATCATAGAGACAGAAAGTAAAATGGTGGTTGCCAGGGCCTGGGAGGGGAATGGAGCAAGACTGCTTAATGGGTACAGAGCTTCAGTTTTGCAGGGTGAGCAAGTTCTGGAGGTGGACGGTGGTGATGCCACAACAATGAGAAAGTACTTAATGCTGCTAAAGCGTACATTTAAAACTGTTAACATGGAACATTTTATCTTATGTATATTTTACCACAATTTTTTAAAAAGAAAGAAATAGGACTGAAAAGTAACCCTCCACTACCACAACATCAAGAGTGAGCCCTAACATAAACCATGGACTCCAGTGATAAAGATGTGTCATGTAGATTCATCAGTCATAACAAATACGCCGACGGTGGTGGGCGATGTTGATGTCGGGGGAGGTCATGCATGTGTAAGGGTGGGAGGCATATGTGAAATTTCTGTGCCTCTGCTCAGTTTTGCTGTGAATCTAAAACTACCCTCTAAAGTCTGTAAACAACTAAAACACAACCGAAACCTCTGAAGGATGGAATTTTGCAAGAGGGAGAATCTGTTCTATGTCCCCCTCTTGGCTCGTATTGGCTTGAGACTTACAGGGAGCAACATGATATTTCTTTTTCCAGGCAATCACATGCATCACAGTTCTCAGTCTGCCAGCTTGAGTTTAACGGGTGTTTGTTTCCTTTGAGATCTGTGCATTCTAAAACAATACACACATCATCAGTGAAAGTCATACAATGAGAATAAGGCCTATCAGGACACTGAGTCCAGCCCCTGCTATCTGTACCCTTCCCAGAGAGGGAGAAACTCATTGCTCTTAAAGATATCGAAGAATGGTGCTCTTGGATTCACCTATGGCTAATTCCAGTGCTGTTCAGTTCATGCTACTGGTAACGTTTTCTTACAGAAAGCTTACATCTTTCTGAGTTTTATTTCAGAACAGGTATTTCAAGAAAAAAAAATAATAAGGCCCTTTTCTTGAATGAGTTAGCCATATGAGCCTAGTGGTACTTGGGACCAAGGTTTTTCCTGCTGGATTCTCTCTCAATCAATATCTCACTTCGACACTTCCCTTTGCTTTGCATCCGTGGTTTTCAACCCTGGGTGCACATGTGAAACATCTTGGGTACCTGAAAACCACCTATGTCTCAGCCCTACCCTAGAACAATGAAATCTATCTCTGGGTGCAGGGCCCAGGCCACTGTATTCTTACAAGGCTCACCAAGTGTGGCCAGGTACAGTGGCTCAGGTCTGTAATCCAAAAATTTTGGGATACCAAGGTGAACAGATCACCTGAGATCAGGAGTTTGAAACCAGCCTGGCCAACATGGTGAAGCCCTGTCTTCACCAAAAATACAAAAATTAACTGGGCATGGTGGTGGGCCCCTGCAGTCCCAGCTACCTGAGAGGCTGAGGTGGGAGAATCACTGGAACCCAGGAGGAGGAGGTTGCAGTGAGCCAAGATCTCGCCACTGCACTCCAGCCTGGGAGACAGGGTAAGACAACAATCAACAACACAAAAAAACTGCAAAGGTTTTCATCTGAAGACAGGTCCATCTACCAGACTGCAATAACATAATAAACATTGAAAATCCAAGACTTACCCTTGGTTGACTCTCCTGGAACTATTTTATTGGGTATTAAATAGCATGATGCATTGCATAAAGTCACAAAGGTTGCGAAGATCACAAGCCTTCCCAGGAGAACGTTCTGTAATGTGAAGAAAGGTCAGGGTGAAGAATGAATTAATTCAGAGGATAATCCTTTACTGAGTGCTGTGTACCAGGACCTCTGCTGGGCTCTGGTGAGAGGTTATGAGGTGGCGCTCCTAACCGCGGGTGACTTAGTCAGGGAACAAGACCCACACAAGTCACTAGCATGAACTACAGAAAGAGGCAAACAGGAGTCAACAGGCATAGGGCAGTAATGACATGTGGGCTGATTCACTGCAGAGGAAGTTCAGGAGACCTTTATAGATAAGGCAATCTTTAGCCTCTTTGCAGAATATATAAGAGTTAAAGGACAGAATCAGGAGTTTCATGAAAAGAATGAAACGCTAACAAAGATAGAGAAGAGAAGCAACAAACATATATAGCTGAAGGCTTATTGTCGTTAACTGGATTAGTTGGAGATATGACTGGAAAAATAGGTTGGGGCCACGCTGTGAACACAGACGGTGAGGCTAGGAAGTTCATTTCCCAGATCATAAAGGCATCTTTGATGGCTCCATGAACAAACCGGTTAATCCAGGCTGAAATTGTAGAACAAGGAAAAGTATCTAGTTGACCTTGTCATCTTCTTCGAAATGAGCTAAATAAACAAACTTTAATATGTTAATTTCTGGGAACTTTTGAGAGGGAAGATGGTGTTCAATGAAATATATAGGAGGCCATTGGTTTGGACTGAGCTCCTGCACCAGGCTGAATTTACAAAATCAAAACGCAGTTGCCCATGCTGAAGTTCTCTGCTACTAAGCCAGAACTAAGTTGCTTATTCAACCTTCTAAGAAATCAGGAGAGACTGAGAGGTAATAGCCAAATGCCCAACAGGCCAGTTTTTGCTGACATGATAAGAAAGTCCCTTCTGCTTTAACTTTTATAATAAAAGTCACCTCGAAAAGACCAATTCAGTTTCTGTTCTGTGTTTCTGCTTTCTCTGGCCCTTTTCTGTCTATAAAGGCAAACCTCTCTGGTCAGCTCTTTAGACCACTTCATCTATTTTATGGAATGAGGTGTTGGCAGATTCTGGACTCACAAGTAAAAGTCAATCAACGGCCAGGCATGGTGGCGCATGCCTGTAATCCTAGCACTTTGGGAGACCGAGGGAGGTGGATTGCCTGAGCTCAGGAGTTTGAAACCACCCTGGGCAACATGGTGAAACCTGTCCTCTACTAAAATACAAAAAAAATTAGTCAGTAATGGTGGCATGCGCCTGTAATCCAAGCTACTTGGGAGGCTAAGGTGGGAGAATTACTTGAGCCTGGGTGGCAGAAGTTGTAGTGAGCCAAGATTATGCCCCTGCACTCTAGCTTTGGCAACACAGTAAGACTGTCTCCAAAAAAAAAAAAAAAGTCAGTTAAGATCTTTAAACTAAATATGTTGTATTTCTGTCTTTTGACAATGGGAATGAAAGCATTTATTCTGTAAGATTTCTAAAATTAATTATGAAGTGATGCTACTTGAAGAAGTATGTGACTCATATAAGAATAGACAGATAGGGGCTTGGTGAGGTGGCTCATGCCTGTCATCGCAGCACTTTGGGAGGCTGAGGTGGGTGGATTACCAGAGGTCCAGAGTTTGAGATCAACTTAACCAACACAGAAAAACCCTGTGTCTACCAAAAATACAAAACTAGGGAGGCATGATGGTGCATGCCTGTAATCCCAGCTACTTGGGAGGCTGAGGCAAGAGAATCGCTTGATCCCAGGAAGCGGAGGTTGTGGTGAGCTGAGATCATGCCATTGGACTGCAGCCTGGGCAACAAGAGTGAAACTCCATCTCAAAAAAATAAAAAGAATAGAAAGATAGGGAGGGCACGATGGCTCACTCCTATAATGCCAGTAATTTGAGAGGCTGAGGCAGGCAGATCTCTTGAGCCAAGAGTTCAAGACAAGCCTGGGCAACATGGTCAAACCCCATTGCTACCAAAAATACGAAAATTAAGGCATGGTGTGGTGGCTCACACCTGTAATCCCAACACTTTGGGAGGCCAAGGGGGGCAGATCATCTGAGATTGGGAGTTTGAGACCAGCCTGACCTCCATGGACAAATCTTGTCTCTACTAAAAACAAAATTAGCCAGGTGTGGTGGCACATGCCTGTAAACCCAGCTACTCGGAAGGCTGAGGCAGGAGAATCGCTTGAACCCACAAGGCAGAGATTGTGGTGAGTGGAGATTTTGCCATTGCACTCCAGCCTGGGCAACAAGAGCAAAACACTGCATCGGGAAAAAAAAAATACAAAAATTAGGTGGGCGTGGTGGTGTGACCCTGTAATCTCAGTTACTTGGGAGGTTGAGGTGGGAGAATCGCTGGAGCCCAGGGAGGTTGAGGCTGCATTGAGCCATGATAGCCCCACTGTACTGCAGCCTGAGTGACAGGGTGAAACCTTGTCTTTAAAAGTAAAAAAGACAAACACAGAGATCAAAATAGAAAACCCAGAAAGTTCCAAAGGTAGTTGGATAAGTTGAAAAAGAAAAATAAGAAAACCAGAAAGTATAAATATATGTAGAAGCCTATTATAAAATAAACATGGTCTCTGAGATCTGTGGAGAGCAATTATTCAATAAATGGTATTAGAACAAGTGGTGAACTATTTGGGGGAGAAACAGAGTTAATTTCCTACTTGAGTCCCCATTAGTGAAATGAATTCTACAAGGATTCAAGGGTTAAATTTTTACAATAAGATCATAAAATAATCACAGCATATATACATAAATACTTATTCTAAGCATAAAATAAAAAGATTTCAGAATATAAATATAAGAACATAATTGAAATTAGAAAGGTATCAAATTTGCAGAACAATATCATTATATACCAATGGGACAAGAAAAACACCTTTTTTTTTTTTTTTGAGACTGAGTCTTGCTCTGTCACCAAGACTGGAGTGCAGTGGTGCGATCTCGGCTCACTGCAGCCTCCACCTCCCAGGTTCAAGTGATTCTCCTGCCTCAGCCTCCTGAGTAGCTGGGACTGCAGATGTATGCCACCATACCCTGCTAATTTTTTGTATTTTTAAAACAGACGTGTTTTCACTGTGTTAGCCAAGATGGTCTCAATAACCTAACCTCGTGATCCTCCCACCTTGGCTTCACAAAGTGGTGGGGTTACAGGTGTGAGACACCATGCCCGGCCCTAAGAACACCTTTTTTTTTTCTGAGACAGAGTTTCACTCTTCTTGCCCAGTCTGGAGTGCAATGGCATCATCTCGGGTCACCACAACCTCCGCTTCCTGGGATCAAACTATTCTCCCCTCAACTTCCTGAGTAGCTGTGATTATAGGCATGCACCACCATGCCCAGCTAATTTAATATTTCTAGTAGAGACAAGGTTTCTTCATGCTGTTCAGGCTGGTGTCGAACTCCCCACCTCAGGTGATTGGCTCGACTCGGCCTCTCAAAGTACTGGGATTACCGGTGTGACTACAGCACACAGCTGAAAAAGATCTTAAACAGAAAACTGGCAAGAGAAATAAAGTGGCATTTCTCTCTCTCTCTCTCTCTCACACACACACACACACACACACACACACAGAGAGAGAGAGAGAGAGAGAGAGGAGAAATGATTAATAAACACATGAAAAACTTTAATTTACTGATAACAAAAGAAAGATAAATATGTAGATAAAATAGAAACATAATGAAATGTCAAGAATATCTTGAATTTATAATACCCAGAGAGAAAAAGAGGCATCTATGGGAGGTGATATGCACAAGAATGACTTACTTTGAACAACTGTTATGGAGAGCAATTTGCTACTATATATCCACATTCCTAAAACCATTTACAGCATTTGGTTTCACCTCTTCTTCTCCAAGATGTGATCCTAAAAATGGCACAGAGATAGACTCCTCCACAAGGATGCTCACTGCAGTAGAAAAAGTGGAAAGAAACCAAGTGTCCAAGAACAGAGCTGGTGGAGAACAGTGACTCAGAAAAACACCTGGTGAGCCAGCAAGGTAGAAGGTGAAGTCACCTGAGCAAATGATCACATGTCATTACATGAAGTGAAGCAGGCTATGAAATGCGTGATTCCCATGACGCGGAGAGAGATACTCAGAACACACTGAAGGTTTTTACCAAATAACAAGTCATCTTTGAATGCTAGGATTATGACCATTTTCTTCTTTGGACTTTCCCTCTTATTTTCTAAATTTTCTACAATAAAATGTATAGCATTTATAGCCAGAAAGAAACAAAGAAAGAAAGAAAGAAATTCTTCAAAAACAACTCAAAACCTCGATATATTCAGCTCAAGCCAGGACTTGGAGTGGCACTTAATCTGTTTTATTCTTCTTTTGCATAACCTTCAGCTCAAAATCGTTGTGGAAACCTAAACTTTTTTCCCCCAAAAATCCACCTTGTTGACAGTATTTTCACTCCCTTCTTGCAGAAAGAGGGCTCTGGGGGGACCTGAGGATCACTAGAATCTTGGAGATCCTGTTCACTGGGTCACAAAGCAGGAGAGTCAACAGGAACAAGCAGGGCTGCAGCCCAGGACAAGTGACGTGTGCAAAATCCCCAGATCTCCCGCAGCTCTAGAGCAAAGGCACGAGATTGAACAACAGGAGATGGAGTCCAAACATGGTGACAGCAGACAGAAAATTATTTCATTGCCGGGTGCGGTGGCCAAGCCTGTAATCTCAGCACTTTGGGAGGCCGAGGCGGGTGGATCACAAGGTCAAGAGATCGAGACCATCCTGGTCAACATGGTGAAACCCCGTCTCTACTAAAAATACAAAACATTAGCTGGGCATGGTGACGTGTGCCTGTAATCCCAGCTACTCAGGAGGCTGAGGCAGGAGAATTGCCTGAACCCAGGAGGCGGAGGTTGCGGTGAGCCAAGATCGCGCCATTGCACTCCAGCCTGGGTAACAAGAGGGAAACTCCGTCTCAAAAAAAAAAAAAAAAAAATTATTTCATTAAGAGATTTCCCACTTGACAGTATCTCAGAAATAGCCTGACACTGACTCTCTTTCTCTCTCTCTCTG